TGTGAGGTATGTATGTGGTCAAATGCCACACTATAGAAATTTAAGAAATTTAAAAAGGTAAATCAATTTTACATGCTACTTAGAAGCACAAGCATATGTAGCCGAAATATTTTTATATGCATAAAAGCATAACACAATTAATTCAGAAGAGTGAGTATCAGTTGAGAAGGGGTAAGGAAGAGCAGGAATGTCACCAGCATAAGTTACCAGGAGGATTTATTATGCTTCAATTTTTAAAATTTTAAAATAATAACTGGATATTCCTTGTATTTCTCCACACTATTTATATATAATTCATGATTTAGAAAGTATATTCCAACTCAGAAGTGCTAAAATAAAAACATTTCAATCAAGAATTACAAGAAAAAACTAGGAATAAAACAAAACTAGTTCTTAACAAAGCATGGATACTGGAACTTTTGAAGACAACTCTGTAAGCTTTCTGAAAGTGTGATTAAAAAGGTGATTTAAAAAAAAAAATCTCCAGATAAAAAAAGCACCAAAAGTTACACACACAACAGCAAATGGCTGCAAAAATGTTTACAACTCAAACAATGCATTGTTTTATGTCTTTCCTCCCTCCATAGATTTTGAGTGTCCCACCTTATTAAAATGGACTGAGAATGTCTACAGAAGTCTTAAACTATGGAAATCCTTTTCACTGTCATTTTATTACCAACACTATTTTTAAACAACTTGAAAATTAAGACAAAATTTCTTTGTTTTTCACTAGCATTAAAAGTAGTGCATTAACCATATTTTCATGTACTCATTTATCCATGAAAGTACATAGAAATACTTTCTTCATGCGTTCTAGAGGCAAAAAAATCTTAATAATCATACAAAATACACAATATAGTCTGAAGAGGAGACATACCTATACTAAAAAAAATTTAGAACGTTTTTCATTGACAGCACTTTCCCATCCCTTTGCCTCCAGCAAAGCCAGCCAAAATTTCTCTGAACTGGAATCATAAGCATCCTACTAACAGGAGGGTCTCAAACTTTATTCCTTCTTTCAGTTAATATACGGCACATTTTTGAGATTAGCAAATTAAAGCCATGCTCTACTACAGTGTCTTCTAATTCCTTTGCTACTTTCTTTGGTGTTTTTACCCAAAATGTGTATCGTAATCATATTTTTAAAAAAACATTTTGTATTATTGCACAGTAATGGAGCACTAGTTTGAGAATACCAAATACTGCTTCTTGAAACATCTAAATAAAAAACTTAGGATAACAAAAATACAAAATAGCATACAGAAAAAAGAATCTAACTACATATCAAGACTACTAACAATCTCATATCAAGCATAGGCATAAATAAAACTTATAAGATTGGGAAAAACAGACTGAAAAAAAGGCAAAACACATCTTGGACTTGCCTTATGAAACACAGAATTCCCAATAAAAGCAGGAAGGTATTTTATACATCATTCTATGGCACACCGCTACTACAAAAGTCAAGGATAGTACCAAGCAAAGAAAATAAACAACTTTTGAGGGGAGGAAAAGACACTATGTGTTATGAGCTTGCAAATTCTTGCTGAGTGAGCCAAGAATGAAAGTCTCAAGGGCTCTTTGCCAAGCCCACGTCTCAAGGGATGTGTCTGTAGACAGTAATCTGGAGGGATAAGAAAACATTTCCTTAGGAGAAGAGCAGCTGTGCTTACTACTTTTTCCGAAGAGGGGGATCCTCCTCGCTCAATGTTCCTCTGCTGTGGGTCCAGCATCCACCCCAGCTATGCCATATGTCCTTGTGGGACTGGAGGCAAGGGGAACTGAATCAACCATGCTAAAATTCATATTGCTGTTTTGAGAGGAGTAAAGTTCTTAGTCACCAGCCAAGAACACTTATATCTTCTCCCTTCATCCATGAAACAGTAAAAATTTATCTCATCAGCTTGGAGGTAGGGTGAAATCTCATCCCTGATTCAATAATTTTATCCTAGTCTGTCAATAAAGTACAGGCCAGTAACCAGGGACAGACTGGAAATAAAAGTTTAAAGGTATTTTCCATGTAAGCCAGGAGGAGCTTACAGAGGGAAAACTTCTAAATTAATTGTACTCTTCATACTATAGGCTATGAAGAATCTTTAGTAGAACAATATTACATTAAAGAGTAGTGTACAAAAGGTAATCAAAAGGGGTAAATATTTATACATTTATTACAGTAAAAGACACTTTGCTATCAGTTGCCCTCAAAATGCTCACCTTCCCTTCGAACACATTTATCCCATCATTCTTGATACTTTCTGAAGTAGCTCTGGAAGCCTTTTTCATGTTTTTATGAGATGTGATTATAAATACGGTGAACACTGATGCTGAATGCCATCCAGAGGAAAGGCAGGCTTGTAATGACATTACAGTGTCCTTATCCACCTTACTCAGAAGATCTGGTAGCATATCACTTCTAGCTCTTCCCAAAAGTCAAAAAGAATGTGAAAAGTCAATGTTTTGAATGGACTGAGGGTATTGAGCTAGCCACAACAATGCAACTGAAGACATTTACAAAAATGGACTTCCAGAACTGCTTTAGAAAGTAGTAAGAAAAATGGGTATGTTCAAAGAGAAGATGAGTATTTTGATACGGATTGATGACAATGTGTCTTTTACTGTAATAAATTTAAAAAATTTAAACATTCACTGTGGTATTTCATGAAAGACTCCTGGAAATAGCACTGATACACGAATTGTACATCTTCTACGGATTAGAGAAGACATTCTCCCTTCTGCAGGGAACAGTCTACCCAAACCATAGGTTGACGAAGACAGAGTGTGGGCATGATCTATATTAGAGCCTCCTAAAAGTTCTTAACATAAAAATCAAAGTAGTAGAAAATTTCAAAAAACAATCTTCATCTCCAAAAGAATATAAAAAGTTGTGGCTTTTATGACTCAGGAACCAAAATTCATAGGAAAGAACAGAGTGAGGTGAAAATAATTTCAAAGGAAGGATATTTTTTATATATATATATGATCACAGCCTTTTAAACATATAAATAAACATAAAATTAAAAGATAACAGAAGAAAAAAGCTTGCCCAAAGTATAATAATTTTACTTATGTGTAAATATTACTAGAGAAATTTTCATGTTCTACACAAAAGATGCTAAGTAGACATAAATTTAGCTGCATGCTGGAAACATGTTTTAAACTATAAGGATAAAGAAAAAAATAATTTTATCATTTATAAACTAAAAATATAGCAAGTGAGGATAAGTTCCCAAGAAAGTGAAATTCTTCTGATCACCTTTTCCCCTTTAGCAGCAGTAATTCCAGAAGGCAATCGAACACACACTCAGAATTCTCTGACAGAGTTGAGGTTCAACATTCCTGACCAACCAAAAGCTCTCTTTGTATGTAAGGCCATCAAAAAACAGTCTTTAAAATTCAAGAGCATGAAATATGTTTGCAATTTTAAACATACCATATTAAATTTTACAAATGTGTAAACTTTGAAAAGTAAAAAATAGGATTGCAAAAAATAGGAAGAGGTCTGGTAATTGGCACTGAAGCCAGGCAAAACATGGATACATGATAGATTGTGATAAAATTCTAGTTAATAGCTATACATATTATTTGTAACTAGAATATTTTATAACTACATATTTACTACATACAAACATGCATCTATACAGTGTAGTACGTAAAATATGTATACATAACGTATATTGAAATTACATGATTTAAATCAATAATCATGGAATGCACAAATACTGAAAACTATGCACTAAAGTAAAAAGAAACTAAGTTCTGTTTAAAAACAAAGTACTCTTTAAAAAAACTACATTTAGGGCCAGGGATTTAGCTCAGTGGTTCCTCTGCCTGCTTTGCAAGCTCAAGGTCCCGAGTTCGATCCCTGGTACCAAAAAAACCCAACCAAACAAAAAAACTACATTTAAAATTCTGGCTATTAAAATTTTATGCAAAATATTTTAGCAAATTTAAAGGTAAAAATTATTTAATATACCCCACAGTTTTCAAAATATTCATGAAATATATAGCATATTTTAAAAAGTACTGTGCATATGGGGGGGAAAGAAAACAAAGGAAAAAGAAAGTAAGTATGAAAAACAGAACATGTAGAATACAATGGCAGGAGTAAAATCAACCACTGTCACTACAAGTATAAAAAGCAAAAGAATAAGCCATGAATACATGATAGATCATTAATTTAATAACGCCTTGTGGGGAGCAGACAGAGAATATTGCCCTATTATAAGAACATGTGCAACCAATTTCAGAACTGTTGTGGTGTAAAGAACTACAATCTGTGTACCAAACTCATCATGGTGTGCCTTATACATAAAATATACAACTAACATAAAGGAAAATCAAAGAGGAAACAGAAAGTAGAAAACAGGCAAAAATAAAAGCTAAATTAGGCTTCTGGTCCCAATGCCAAATTCTCTGGAGGTACAATGTGATTTTTCTCAATTGGGCCATGTGTTGCCCCAGGTTTTATTAGCACGATACAAGCAACAGAGGCTGTGCTGACTGTCATTTATGACAACACCCCAAAGGCAGCAAAGGTACATGGCCAGACACGTTATTTTCTTTCTTTCTTCACTGCCTTTGTTCTTTCTTCAGGCTTGATCGACATAACTCTAATGTAAATGCTCTTCAAGAGCAAGAACGATACTTGAGAACTCTAATATTTATTTCAGTTCTAGCACAGTGCAAAACACAAAGTAACAGCTCAATAAAAATATCCCTAACTATATTCTTTTTCATTCCCTAAGCAGAACCCTACAAAACAGTTATACGGAATTTGCCTGTGTGTGCACAGGCACGCAGACACACACACATACACACGCACGCACACATACTCTAAGATCTAAGTTTTACATTGAATAGCAATTCAGAAAATCATATTGAGTTATTTCCTCAACTTATTTATCAATATAATCTCTATTATTTCTAAAATCAAAAAGAGTCACATAAATTAAGTTATACATTTTTAAATATTTTTGGTAGCTATATAAGCATAAACTTACAGGCAAACTGGAGTTTAGCTTCTCTGCTGACAACTGTTCCAAATGAATTTGTTGCAAAACACTGGTAACTTCCAGTATCCCAATTTCTGTTGGGGTTAAAAACCACAAGATTTCCACCATTCAACTTGTAACGGTGTTCCATACTCATATCAATGTTACTTCCATTCAGCTGCCATCTGTAAAAAGAAATGTCAAGGGGTTTTTGCCTTCTCTGAGACTTTTTTCCAGGTACTAGGGATTGAACCCAGGGCCTTTGCATTGAGCTACATCCCAAACACACTTTTTTTTTTTGGTCTCACTAAATTGTTAGGTTTCCCAAGTTGGGCTCAAACCTGAGATCTTCCTGCCTCAGCCTCCCAGAATGCTGAGATTATAGGAATATGCTACTGTACCTAACTAGAACCTTTAAATTTAAAAGAAGGCTACATAATAAAACACACTTTACACATCATTCCCCCAAAAATGAAAAGCAATATATACATTATTCAAGTGTTACATAATTAAAGAGCCAATGTGCCCATGTATTTATCAGGAACCAAATGTTAAAAGTACAGTAGAAATGACAACAAAGTAACATCTGAAAAATATTTTTAAAGGTTTCCTGAAGAGGTGAGAATAATTTAGTTTGTTCACACATGAGAAAAATTAGGCTAGGACTGTATAGCAAATACGAAGTAAAAGGTGAGGAAATCATCTCAGCTACTTCAGTCCAATCTCAGGCTGACAGTGAAGGAGGAAGGAGCACATTTCTTTGATTTACCAGACTGACTGAGCACATTTAATAAATTAATTAAGTGTTCAGCTATGTGTTTCAATGTGTCTGGGAAGTATCCATCTCCAAGGCATTCTCCACTTTTCAGTGCAATCATAGTTCTATGTACAAAATGGTGCACTGTGATAAAAGACCCTAAACACCACCCAATGGCTTTGAAGAAATGAAGGCATGAACTCCAGAGACACACTCATTAGTAGGAAGCCCAAAAGAAGAAAGAAGCTTGTTTTTAAATAAGTTTTAACTAGAAAAGTAGGAGTTTTTTAATAGTAAGACTAGACACATCAAAGTAAATTTCACCTTTGCAAACTCATTCATATTTCACAATTTCAAGCACATATCCCTTATATAAATTAAGGAATCCATTTCCTAGGCAACTCAATTGTAACAAAAATGACACTGAATCAGCTCTAGACATTGTGGCATAGTATGATAATTGTCTCTATTGCTCTTGGTTTAAATATTGGGAAAGTGGTTAAAGAATGTCCAACTTTAGATGAGAATTTCAATAAACCAAGAGTTAAAACTGACCCCAATCTATTAATTGACTGCACCAGGAGTGCCACTCATCTGAACTCTAGATCATAGTTCTTCAATTATACAATGAGACATGTAAAAATGTACTAATACACAAAATATTGAATCTGTACACATCCACTGTGAAAGTCTGTGTGGAACCAGATGGTGAACATCATTTCAAACCGAAGTGGAGCTAAATGCACTAGTGTTCAACTGTGAAAATGGATCAGCTGGCAAACAATGGTGCATAAAAAAGCAAATGTTAAAACGCAGTGTGACACTATTTATATGGATTTAAAAACATCTATGGTAATACTAAGAGTGGACTAAATGTACTTTTAGTGTATGAAAGTAGTAAATGTCTATCATGAGCTATCATGAAGAGACCGTAGGCCATGTTTAGGGGGCATTCAGTAGAAAATTTAGCTTTTCAGTTTTACTTCCTAAACTAAGTGGTGGTTATGTGAGTGTTTATCATTATACTTTATTGTATGTTTATATCATTTTCTCTCTATATAATAAAACATAATGAAATTTAAGTGGCTGGCAAGGATAGAAAATAAATAAGCCTATAAGTTTAATCTATTATTCCACGTACTATTTTATCATTTGCTCATTTTTACAATCAAAGCTTTCTTTTCTTATAATTTCACATACAACTTCCTAAGGTCTATAGCCACAATTCTACTGACAGACCAAATAGAAAGTAAGAGGAAAAACTTGAGGCCCCAATTTTTCTCTTAAAATTTTAAGAGAACAAAATTAGAAAAGAAACAGGTGGAACCACTTTTTTGATTTGTAGCCAATTTCTGCTGTTCATTTGGTTTGGTTTGGTTGTAAAATTCCTCTTATGATTCTTCATGAGCATACGGCTTTCTTTACTCTGTTCTGACTTACTCTTTACCAATAGTTTTGAAGCTAAATGACAGGCCCTCATGAACCCTTCCCCCTCTTCTTCCTCCCTGAGTCCTAGAACTACAGAAACTCAGAAAAGGAAATAAAGAAAACTGTCCACCCAATTTTGTTTGAGACCTCTGAGTATAGACACACAACACAGTCTGCAGATGAGTAGCAGCAGTGGTGCCATCTGAGCATGTTATGGAAATGCACAGTCCTGATCTGCTCAGTCAAAATCTATACCTTAATGAGAGCTCTGAGAGTTTCACACTCACATTCAAGTTGCAGAAGAAACTTCCGCACCTCCCCACTTAGACAATTTCCTATTTAACAACTTTGACTGGCAAAGCCATCTTTCCTTCTTGGCCCTCAGTTCGTGAAAAAAAGATTTGTCGAGTGTCTGAATGTCAGGGAATTTTCTAGGTTCTAAAGCTGTGGTAACAACTCCGTGCTTTTATGGAGCTTCTCTTTGTTTAAACTTTTTCCCCATTTCCTAGTTGTTGCTCCTACCCCAACCCCTTATCTGGTCCCCAGTCCCTGGCTGAGCCTTTCATGTGACAGCATAATGAACAGATATGGGATTTGGCCCCAAGTGCTCACCGGTCATTCACTCCACTCACCCATGACCAGCTGTGTGACCAAGGGCAAACAATGCTTCACTCCTCTGAAAATTTTTTGATATGTAAAGTGAAAATAATTCCATCTCTCCTGGAGGGTTGCTCTACAGATCCAATAAGACAACATGGAGAGCTCAGCTCAGGGTTATCATGCACAGGCATCCCACAAATGGGTGGGCACCACTCCGGAAGTGGAAGGCAGCTCCTGCTGTGGCTGCACAGACCTTCACCCCTTTGCTGTGCTTTTATTAGATTTTGGTCATGTGTCACCTACTCTATTCAATGCTCTTGGTCATGGCCACTAATGTGGAACAGATTGTGTCTCCCACATACCATACAGTTTGTCTGCTTTTGTGGCACCTCTGAGAAGTTACCCAAAGGTGGGATGGGACACATGCCAGGCTTAACTTTTAAAGAATAAATCTGACAGTAAATCACAAAGAACCAGGTTTGACTTTTAAGGTGTAAATGGATGTCAGATATTAAGAGATTCAGTACTTGAGTGTGAAAAACTCCTCTAAACTCAAATAAGACTGATGTTGCTAATTTCACATACTATCCAATGGAAGATTCTTGTGACAAAGGGTACTTGTCAATTCCTTATATATGAAGTACAGTTTGCTTAAGGACAAAAAAATTGTTTCAGCTGAGGTGTCAGAATATTTGGGGCTTAAGCATGCTTGATGGCTTCATTTGAAAACTGTGTTTTTGTATTTAGCTAATGAATAATAAAAGCAGAGTGGCTATATAGAAAATTGCAAAGATAAATAAAAATCTTAAAAGTACTTCTTCATGTCTATTTAATGGCTTGAAAGATTTAAAAGCTCATAAAATATGTGGAAAGATACTCTATTTCAGTAAATGTTGAAGATCTAAAAGCTATCATCCCAAAGTTTTCACTAAAGAACCAAAATAGAAAAGATTTGTTCCATTATGCATAAATGACTCTCACTTCCTTTAGCTTGGTTTTCATCATATAGATACAATCACCAGATTATTTCACTATGTGAAAAGGCAGACACTCTTCTCTTTTAAATATATTTCTGCAACACCAAAAGCAGGGTACATATGTTTTAGCAAATTCTTCAGAGCTAAGATATTTTGAGCTACCTTCAAGAATGTTAATTTTGTTTTAACAAAGCAATATAATTATTTTTCTCCTTCTTCACATTATTCATCATTAAATAGAACTCATCTCCAGGTGATATAAAATTTCTCAGTATCTTATTAAACATTTTTCCTCTCACTGAAAATACGTGAATTCAAAAGGGCTTTGTTTAAACTGTGAAATATGAAAATAATCTCTGGGCTTGGCTTCCAAAGGTTATTTTATGCTAAGAACCAAAACACTCTACCTGTGTTCCTAATGCAAAATATTCATGATTGAGCCAGATTTTGTCATATGTCTTTTACTTTCATCTGTATAAGAAATATTTTGTAAAACAGAAAGCATATATAGCTCTTATTTGACAAGGTACACATCCAATAAATCTGCAAATCAGACTCATCTTTGCTGGAAACTGGAATCAGGCTTCATGAATACAACATTTAGAGTTAAGGTATGACAGGTAAATGGGACTCATGTCATAAATATGGGAGACTATTAGAAATAAATATTGCCCATTAATTTTGCACATTCATAATCCTTTATATAACTGACTTTTATCAAGGAATTATAAAGTACACCAGGAATACAAAGTATCAGAATATAATCTTTCCGAAAGATGGAAACTATACTTGATAAATGTATATTTGCATACCCAAATTCCATTCCAGAAGCCTTAATGCAATGATCTGAAGCAAAATAAGACAGCACTTTGGCTCTTGGGGCTATGTAAACCACCATTTCAATCACATAACATTTACATTGCACTGCAGAAGCAGACTAACCTTGTAGCTTTAACTCGGTGGTAAATGTCACAAGATTAAGTAAGTACCTTTGCATAATCATCATGCTGTAACACTTTTGAGTGATCTCATAAGTTCACTGTCAAGCTTTCGTGTTCAAATGCTCATTCTACATAAATGAGGATTTGCTTTTAGAATACACCAGTGAGCATGGTTTATTGTTCATATTTCAAAAGTAAGATTTACAGTGAATGAGTCCTCTTCATCCCCTTGAACTAGTTTCCTGTGGAGGCTCTACAGCAATTTGTGTCTGGTCCAATACCTAGAGATGAATACTCAGGATGCCAGATTTATAAGTCCTGGGTTGAGGGCCTCCCTGAGGAAGTGTATCTTTGATCAGTCCACTTCTTCTATGCCTGTTGCATCCTCTACACCATAGGGACGCTGGCAAGGCAAATAAAGTGAATGAGCAACTAGGGCCAAGCCTAATACAATAGAATGACAGAGTTTAATGCAAATTTCC